GGGGCCTCGCAGCCGTGGATGCCCAGCGTGAGGCAACCCTGTCGCTGCGTCCCCAGGTCAGCGGGGCTGGAGGACAGCCAGGGACAGGATCACCTTCCTGCTCCAGAATCAGCTGTGCATCCCGACAGCGAGCGTCAGACGACGCCAGCATTTAAGCCCTGACTGCCCTTGATACGCCTCAGTTTCCCCACCCGTAACGATGCTAATGCGCTGGGCACTCACTTTGCAGAGAAGCAGAGATGAGCGATAATTAATATTGCTGACAGCTGGGGTTGCTGGCTCGCCCAGGATCCCAAACCAAGGTCAGGTCTGAGAGCGCCCAGAAACCGACTGTCGCTGAGCACGGGTCTGCTCCTCTCTCGCGTTCGGGACGGCGGGCGGCCGCGGCACGTCATGGTCTGCACGTACGCTGCGCTGGGCCCCTGGGCTCTCGGCGGGCAGGGACAGGCTGAGCCCACCCCGGGTGCCAGTCCCGCTCCGGTCTCTGGGCGCTGGAAGGACACGGGTGGCCTTGAGCCTGGACCCGTGCTAAAGCCACCAGGGGAGCTGGGATGGGTGCTAAAGCCAGAAGAGGAGCTGGGATGGGAAAACCAGTCGCTGGCAAAGCCAGGCCCTGGCCTTCCCCTGGGGCCAGTCCTCGGGGCTCTGGGGAACACAACGCCTTTGTTCGCGACTTGGCCTGCGCCAGGAGCCCTTCCCGTGCTCAGCCCCAAAACACCAACCCTTCAAAAGGCCTGGCCCCCCCTCCCCTTCCCCCAGCCATGCTAATGGGCCAGGCCTCTTCTCCTGAACCCTGGGAGAGACCAGCCCGGCAGACAGCTTCACCACTTGTTCAGTGTGTGTTTAGCGATCTTGTGAGTAGACAAGAACAAACACAAACAAGCCGGGCTGGAGAGCCCCTGCCCCTCCGCCCTGCCTGGAACGCAGCAGCCCCAGAGCCTTTCTTCTCTAACCACTTCAAACTTTCATTTCTTCTGAAGCCACAACAAGGCACACTTTGTAAAGCAAATGAGTAAACAGCAACTTTCAGCTTAAAAGGAAAACAAGGGGGAGGGACTGTTTTTAATTATGGGATTTTAAAAAGGGCTTTATTCGGTTAATTGCTTTCTGTTGTAAAATGTTCTGCTGCGCGAAGCCCTGGTTCTAGCTGCATCGCTGCTGGCCAGATGGCATCGCGGAGGTAATGACAGCATGTGCCTTCCCTGCTTGGGTACACAAGTGCCTTCAACAGTCGCAGACATGCCCCGAGCCCTCCCAGCCTCATGGAAATGACACCAGGCACCAAGTTTTCGCTCAGACATGACCAGTGGTTTGGCATGGCCGACTCACATCGCTTCCAGAGGGCCGGAGGAAGAGCGATCGGCACGCACGGCAGAGCCTCTGCAGCATTTCAAGTCGAGTTCCCAAAGGGGCTAATTGCTGTTGATTGCCTCGGCTGCAGCGCGTTACCTTCCTAGTCTGGGGTAATCACCGATGTTCGTGCGAGGTGCTGCGCTCAGCTTGGCCCTGCCCGACGGGACGCCGGTCTTCTCGAGCAGGGGAGAGTCTGGCACGGCAGCTGGCGTGCGTGTCGGCATGTGAACACACATACGTGTGCATGTGGCTTGGTGCAGCAGCGCGAAATGGCTTCCAACTGCATCCCTGATGATCAGAACCAGTTTGGAAGACACCCCGCGTCCCTGCGGAGACAGAAAGATTAAAAACAGAGAGCCAGCTAAGAGGTGCATGAAAGGACCTTCAGCAGAAATGCATGTTCTGTCTGAACCCGAGGAAGAACTTCTTCCCTCTGAGGGTGACGGAGCCCTGGCCCAGGCTGCCCAGAGGGGCTGTGGAGTCTCCTTCTCTGGAG